GCGACGGCGTGGTTAATGTCTTAGAGCGTTGCGTGAGCGCAATCTCAAAGGAAACGACCAACAGAATTAATCCTACGTCGAACGGTTATTTTGACTTAGAACATTTTTACTTCCACGTGCGCGGGAACACCCGGCGTATTCTCATCTCTAGATAAAAATCGACAGTTATGTACAGGGTGTCCCGTAATTTGCGCCCATTATTTGCATAGCGCTATTCCTCGGGAAAATTTATGGCAACTTGCCCATGGCAAAAATGTCGAGGAAGGTTATTACTTAAAGCAACTTTTTAGTTTTCAATGGAACACATTGATGAAACAAAGCTTTAAATGAATACTCTGTTGAGGTTAGATCCTCTTGAAATTGATCGGAAAAGATCATTTTACTATCCATTTGATTGTTTGTTTGTGAAAGGTCCGTTTTTTCGATCGCTTGTATCTCAGAATTTAACGATGCTCCGATATTTCTCTAAAAAAAAAAATAAGGGGTGGAGGACAACTTTTCATTAAATATTAATTACAGAATATTCTGTACACAAAGTAAACTATTTCACGTCTATTATTTAGAGAGCACTATTCTTTGTAGCAACTTTTCCTTAGAGAAACTATTGTGTTGTTCGGAAAGTAATTTCGGTCTCTTGCATGAAAATGAAAGACGATATTTACAGTAGAAAAAAAAGTTTTATTCTGTTAAGTATTGACCATTTTATTCTAACACTTTTTGCCATCTTTGAGGTAATAATATGATTCCATGCTCGTAGAATTTCTGGTCCTTATTGACAAAAAACTGAATTAAGTGGTTTTACCTTCATTTGAATCGAAATTTTTACCATCCAAATAATTTTGCAGTGACCGAAACAAATGATAATCGGATGGTATCAAATCAAGTGAATATGGTGGATGCGGTAGCAAATCCCATCCAAGCGCTAATAGCTTCTAGCGAGTCATTAAACTTGTGTGAGGTCATGGCGTTGTTATGATGAAACTTTTCTGTTCGTCAATTCTGGTCTCTTCTGCTTGATGGAATCATTCGATTTTCCCAATTGATGACAATATATATTCGAATCAATCGTTTGGTTGTCTGGTAGCAACTCAAAAAAAAACCATTTCTTTCCAATTCCACCAAACAGAGAGCATCACCTTCTTTCGATGGATATCAGCTTTCAATGTGCTTTAAGCTGGTTCATCACGTCTGCTCCATGATCTTTTGCGTTTAATCCACAATCCACTTTCATCTCCAATTATGAGTCGCTTCAAAAATGGATCATTTTCTTCATATTTCAACAGCAAATCGCAAATGGTAATGCGACGAATCAAATTTCTTTCTTTGAGAACATATGGAACCCAAATATCCAGCTTTGAAACAAAATCAAGTTGTTTCAAATACTCATGCACGGTCGAATTCGATAAATTTAGTCTCTCAGCAATTTCTCGTGTCTTTTTAATTTTTAAATGACGATTTGCATCCATCAATTGGCTTTATTTGGTCTTCATCAGCCTCAACTAACCTTCTAGAACGTGATGCATCTTTGAGGTCGAAATTCCCAGAACGAAATTTCGAAAACCAATTCTGACATTGGCGTTCGGTCAACATATCCTTTCTATATACGACACACAATTTTTTCTTGCTTGCGCTGCATTTTTGCTTTTACGGTAATAAAAAAGCAAAATATGACGAAAATACTCACATTGATTTCCCATTTTTGATGCGACGCCAAACAAAAGCAACTTGACAAATTCCAAAACAACTTTTTTTTTCAAATGAAACTTGAAATGTGCGCTATAAAAATATAAAATGATTTTCTGGTTCAAAATGAGGTTAACTGCTTAAAAAGGCAACTAACACCATCTACTTGAAAAAATTGAAATTACTTTTCGAACAACTCAATACTTATGATGACCTTTCAATTTTCAACATATCTGGATGGTTACAAATAAAAAATCCTGTTAAAATAAAATCTACTCAAGATTTACCGAACAATGCTCTTGTCCATTTCACCGCGCAAAGTTACTTAATCCTTTAACGCCTACTGGTAACTATAGTTACCAGAAACGCATTTAAGAATAACTTAGTCAAAAAAGGAGATATTTTCGTTTTTTTTTGCACCACTGTAAAGGTGAAATCTTCTTCTAAAAAATGGTATATAGATTGTACGTAGATTCGGTTTAGTCTGTTTTTAGCTCAGTTTTAATGATAACATGTTTTTGTCAAATTCCAAGTAGGCATAGTTAGCATTGTTACTGACATCTAGAAGTGCACTATAAATGAATAGATTGGTATCTGTTATAATTTTATGCATTTGGAAACTTTCTCAGATGCAAAATGTGAAATTAAAAGAATACAGAAATTCAAAATGGCGAATCCAATGTGGTGGACATGAAAATCAAGAAATCAACCTATTTTTGTGAAACCTGGTGTTACCTACAGTTTTTTATGCGGCGAAAAATGAAGGGACGATTGACTATTTAAATGGTGATCTATAAGATATTCTTCTGAAATAGTAAGCGTGACGCTCTGAATGATAAACTTCACTCACAAATATAGTAAAGTTTCAGCTCAAAAATGTCAAGCTGACTATCAGAGTTATGTCGTATTAATTACCCTTCATTTTTCTCTGTATAGGTTGCTCATTTCGTATATGTTTTTAGGATCCAAGTCATATTTACAAATAAACAAAAAACGAACGATAAAAAAACCAATCTAATGAAACCAACAAACGAAAAGCGGAAACTTCATGTACTCATTTATTCAGAAGGTAGTTTTTCGTAGATATAAAATTCTGATATTTCTTTTTGGTTATCACTACTTATAGTCTCAATTCAAAAAACTCAAATTTTGTTCTTAAAACACTTATAAAAAAGTCGGGCGTTAAAGGATTAATTTGCTAAAAACCGCGCACTTCCGATCGCGTACATCTCGAATATCATTGACGCCTCGTTTCCGCGAATCTCGTCGAGCTTTCAGGAAGAATATAACTCCGTCGTAAATAGTGAGCGCGAAATAATCGACACCCGGTGCATACGTATCCAAACAATTCGGCCTCTCTGATATATCGCGAGCACGCGTCAATAATTGCGCACGACGATTTTCGCCGACGAAAGTCCCGAAACCGCAGTGCGGTCGAACTCCGTTCCCGGCTGCTCCTCTTCCCGTGCGACCCGCTGCACCTGTGCGCGCGCGCTAATTGCAGATCGCGAGGCAGTACGGATCGGAAGAACTATCGACGAATGAGCGGCACCAAAACGAAGAAGCGGGGCAGACCGAAGAAATTCCGCGAATCGATGCTGGTGCACGAACGTCACGCGCCGGGGCGAAGGGGGAGGACTTTTTACGGCGCAACGGACCGTGCGAGACGGGAGGGTGCGCTAGGAAATTCGCGAAAAAATTCATGCTACCGTGGAAAATGCAGCGACGGTGCACGCAAGCGAACTCACGGCATTGCGGCTCCCGAGTCGCCGCACGCAACCGCCCGTTCGTCTAGACTCGGGACCTTTTTTTTTTTATAACGGTGGGGAAATCCTCATGGATACTCCCCGCCCCTTCGGAGGGGGCGGAGGTTATGTCGACTAAAATCCCACTGGGGTGTCTACCAGCTGGGCCGGAGTGGGGGAACCGGGGGAACTACGTCAGTATTCCCTCCCCAAAACTCGGGACCTATGCTGAAGCCAGGACCAACGACCCTGTCGCCCCTGACTCAGGAGTAACGATTTGTACGGTTCCCTGTGATCGCTATTCTTTCGCGAGGGAAAAAGTGTCTCCCCGGCACACTTCAATCGAATTTCCTGGAAAAGGGCCCTCGGTTTCGTTTTTTTCTTTATTACTCCTAATATATTCACAAGCTGTCATAAATTGACATTAAGTAAATCGTATAATTATGTTCCGTTTTAAGGGAGAAAAGGTCTTCGAAAACAGATTTTATAAACCCGAAAGGAAATTAGAACATTGTCGAGAGGAATCTATGTAGCAAATCTCACAGAAAGAAGATTTCAAGTTTAATGGTAATAATGAGGACCTGGTTAAAAATGAATCTGACAATAATGCGCGAAGAAATAAAAATATGAGTAAAATTAACCTGTAGGTTTGGGAAATCTACAAGTTAATTTTACTAATTGTCACCAATAGGAACTTTTAGATTAACGAAATTAGAGGATAATTAAAAATAAAACTGACAAATACAAGCGGAAATATTATTGGAGAAGAGGTTTTGAAATTTGAGAAATATCACCAATAATATTTGCGATCAGAAGGGAGAATTATTAAAATTAAATCTGATGGACACAGAAAAATTACTTAATGTCAATTTATGACAGCTTGTGAATATACTAGGAGTAATAAAAAAAAACGAAACTGAGAGCCCTTTTCCAAGAAATTCGATTGAAGTGTGCCGGGGCGACGCTTTTTCCCTCACGAAAGAATAGCGATCGCAGGGAACCGTACAATTACTATTGAAAAGCTTATATCATATATGCATTTAGGAAGTTTCACCGAAAGATGCACTTATAGCAGCAAGCAGAGGAAAACACCATAAAAAGTAAAATCGACAGACATAAAAGAGTTGAAATATTATTGGAAGAGGTTTAAATATTCTCTTAGAGATTTAAATATTCTCATTGAAATATAATCTTAAGTTTATATAATCATAGAAAAGAGTAGAGGTGAGAGTAGATTTGACAAACATGTAGAAATGGAGATATTCCCGAAAGAGGGATTTAAGAAACATCATCAAAAAAGGAACTCTTATAAATCAAAGAAAACGTGTAAACATTGTAACGAACGTTTCCGCCTTAACTTGGGTCTTCCTCGATGACACACTAAACTGATGCAAAAAACGAATCACGCGAATCCGATCACTGACTCATAACTGCGCGAGATCGGCAGGAAAATAATACGTAAATGATAAAAACACTAATAGCACGAGGAAACAACTTCGAGCCGCTGCGTCTCGTTCGCTCTGTAGAGTCCATCTCCGTGAGATATTCAGGAATCTTACTGACGTGTTCCAGGCACCAAGAAGATGGAATATAAGACCAGACAGTGGCATGAGAAGTGCTTCTGCTGCGTGGTTTGCAAGAACCCGATCGGCACGAAGAGCTTCATCCCGCGCGAGCAGGAGATTTACTGCGCTGGCTGCTACGAGGACAAGTTCGCCACCCGATGTGTCAAGTGCAACAAGGTGAGTTGCTGTCTTAAATGTAGCACAGATCGCCTCCTCCCCGCGCCGGTCTCGTCCGTCATTAGCGTCAAGGGCAAGGCAAAAGGTCGAAGCCAACAGGTCACATCGAGCTAATTCTTCGTGCGATGAAACTTTGTCGCAGATCATCACCAGCGGCGGCGTGACGTACAAGAACGAGCCTTGGCACAGAGACTGCTTCACTTGCAGCAACTGCAACAACTCCCTGGCGGGTCAACGGTTCACGTCGCGCGACGACAAGCCGTACTGCGCCGAATGCTTCGGCGAGCTCTTCGCCAAGAGATGCACCGCTTGCTCCAAGCCGATTACCGGTACGTTCCTCTTGCCAATTGTGTTTCAGCGATTGGGCGCGCCCGCGAGAATGACCTCAGCGACGAATCCTCTTCGAAGTATAAAAAGATTCCACGTATCCCCTCCCACTCCGTCATCTCTTACACGATACTCACCGCTCAAATTGTTTGAGTCAAAGTGTCCGTCTTACGGTGTGATTTGTAGATTATCTCTTTTCGTCGATGTAACAGCGATTGTTGCAGATTTGTGAATATTTAAACATCGCAAGGACCGGATTTGACGACTCCCCTAGAAGGACCGTAGGAGCCAATTTGGCTCCAAGATTATTTTTTCGTAAATAATAAATAGAAAAAAAGGAAACGTATAGGTATTATAAAATTTATAAAATTATAAAATTTAACGTCTTAACAATATCATTAATTTATTGAATAAAGAAAACTATTAGTTACATTATATTGAATGTTTTTTAGTCTTTGGTGAAAGAGACTAAACGTGAAATTCAATTCTGTTATGTACTACAGGAAACGCATTTGTGCATAATTTTCTTTGTACATTTACCGCACACAAATTTTTTACACAAACAACATTTTCCAACTTTACGATCTTTTTGCAGTCTTTTTTATTTGACAAAATGGTCGTTTGCCCGAACCATCGCCGAATTCAATTTCTTCTCCGGTTGAATCAAAATTTTGAGACTTTCGTTTTTGAATAACATATACAGAGCACATATGGTATATAGGGCACTCAATTCTTCCGCGAGATTTTGTAAAAAGATTCTTCTTGATATTTTTTCACACGTAACTTCCTTGTATATAATCCATGCACTTATAGCAGCAAAATCCAAAATATTATAAAAAGTATGAACTGGCCAGCGGCGAGATTCTATATATGCATATCTATGTGTACATATGTATGTATATAATTGTTTTTTAAACGAATAAATAGATAGATATATATAAAAATATTTATTTATCTATTTAAAATCATAAAACTTGTAAATAAACCCGTGAAACATATGAGAATATCAGATATGTCAAATTGACTTCAACGATCCTTTTAGGTAGGCAATAAAAATTTAACCGTCTTATTAATTGAAAAATATTTTTACCAAAATTAAGATCATGAAAAATGATTAAAAGTCACAAAAGGATATCACGTCGAGGCAAAGTTGAAAAAAGTTATAGCAGTTTGAATTTCGCGAGGAGCCAAATTGACTACCTCGGTTGTTCTAGTGTTAAATGTATTTTAAGGAGTCTTCTCTTTCCATTTCTTTGTTATTACGGGTATGCAAAAGTTTCCATCGCTTTTAAGGCAATGCTTTTTATTAATATTATTATAAATAATACAGTGTCTTTAATCAAAATATTTTCCGGCATTATTTACTACTTTTTGCCATCTTTCAGGCAAAAAATGGATACCACAACAAAGGAATTTTTTGTTTTAAGATGAATCAAGTTATCGATGAATTGTTACACTTCTTCAACATTGTAAAATCGTGTACCAAAAAGACTGCTGCGTAGAACGAAATAAGTGAAAATTCAATGGGGTAATATTTGGAGAGTATGCAAGGTGTAGTAGGATTTCCCATTGCAATTCCATTAAAATTTCCCAAGTCGTTAATGTAACATGGGGCCTGGCATTGTCGTGCAGAAGAATCATTTTGTTTTGTTTTGTCGCAAAATATAACCGTTTCTTGGTCAATTGCTCATTCAATTGCCTCAATTGTCGACTGTATCCACGGTGATAGTCTGAGATGGTCCTAACAGCTCATAATACAGCACTCCTTGCATGTCCTATCAGATACACAGGAGGACCTTATAACTATAGATATTTCGTTTTGGCAATGATTAGAGAATTTCTCCGGAATTTATCCACGATCTTTTACAATTCGGATTGTCATAATAAATCCATTTTTCATCTCCGGTCATAATTCGATACAAGAAAGACTTGTATTTGTGTCTATTGAGCAGCGAAAGGCAAACGGTAACTCGGCAGACAAGCGTTCTCGGATAATTTATGGGGAATTCATTTTCCTTCCTTCAAAATTTCCCCCGTCTCATGCAAGCATCGAATTACAGTGCTTTGATTAACACATAACCTTTTCACAAGTTCTACACTCGACTGAGTCGAATCTTCTTGCAATAACACTTCCGAACAAGTCATCCGAATTCATCTCTTGCGGTCGCCCGGCACGCTCCTTGTCTTCCAAATCAAAATCGCCACTTTTAAAGCGCCGAAACCACTCACGACATGAACTTCCAGCTATCGTTCTCTCACCATAAGTTTCGTAAATGATTCTGGTTACTCCTGCAGCTGCTTTGTGCTGATGGAATAAAAAAAAACATACAATGACGTATATGCGTCTTATCGACTTCCATCTTCATACGAATTAAAAATGTTTATGTCAATGAATATGACTCATTATGCATCAGTTTCTATATGGAGGTTGACCAATACTGACATAATCTAACAAAAATGTGTCGCAACTTTCGTGTAAATAATTCACAATGCCACCTATATGTGAACGATGGAATCTTTTGTATACTCTTAATAAATAAAATGGCATATAAATTCTTTATATTCTATCGATAAATGAGATTCTTGTAAATTTAGATAGCTTTCTCAGAGGCGAATAATGTTTCTTGGAAGAATCTGTTTTATATTTTGCGTAGCTGAGGAAATTCATAAGAAAGACTCTTTGTTACTCCATCCCCCCTCCCCATACAAGGGAACCTGGACTCGGTATTGCATCTATCACATAAAAGGCTCCATTGAACCATAAAAATCAAGAAAATGATTTCATCGTTATCTCTATAGAGAGAAAATCGCTTACAACGCTTCATACTTTTCCTCTTTTACACAGAGCAAGAAACGAGAGAAATTTCTCAAATAAACATCGCGTTTGTTTTTCGAAAAGGTACCAAGTCTGCATAAATCTACATAAGATTGAATGAAACCGCGTCCATATAAATAAATTTCAACTCAAATTCGAGTAAATTTAAACCGAATTAAATTTTAATTGCACATATAATTAAATAGATCTTATTTGTCTTCAAAATAAAATAATAGAAACAAAAAGATTCGATAAGATTCGGTCGCGACGTGTTACGTGCAATAAATTTTACACCCTTTGTCTTTTTCACGCGCTATATTTCTAAATTTATGTTAACAAATTTCCCATTAAATAAAAGTCAAAAAAACTTGTATTATATTATTTAAAATATTATCTAAAATATTATTTCTTTTTTATCGACCGCTGTATCATTACAAAAATCGCACCGGAAAATCGAGACGCGAAATAACCCGCATAAATTTCGCAATATAAGTCTTCAGGATTTTTTCGAAGCCACTTCGAGTGTGCGCGTTGAAAAATTGACAAATGACGCGCAACAGGCGATAAGAGCTTGCAATGAATCACCTAAGGCTCGACTCACCGTTCGATTTTCAGGTATCGGCGGCACTCGCTTCATCTCCTTCGAAGACAGGCACTGGCACAACGATTGCTTCATCTGCGCGGGCTGCAAAACCTCACTGGTCGGGCGCGGCTTTATCACCGACGGCGACGACATCATCTGCCCCGAGTGCGCCAAGATGAAGCTGATGTAAAGAAGCTTCAGCGATGGCCTCTCGACGACATCGTGAACGACAACGGGCTCGACGGGTACCGAGGCAAAGGGAGAGCGAAGGACATTCGGCGCGGCGAGCGCGCAATCGTCAAACGGATCATCGCAATCGTCCACACCGTGCGTCACCGTGAAAAATGGAAGAAAGAAAAAAGGAAAAAATGACAAAAAAAGAAAAAAACAAAGAAAAGAGCATCATCACGATGTCGCTAGCCGACGACGAACGACGGACGGGGTGAGCTAGGGCTTTCATAAAGCTTCGCCGCAACAGTCGTAATGAGGAGCGAGTAAAACGGCGTAATCTAACAAATATCGCGAATGAGAATAAACAGGTAAAAGAGAGAGGGAAAGAGGGAAAGGGAGAGAGGGAGAGGGAGGGCGAGGGGAACAAAAGAGTTGCACTCTGTCATATAGTAGATTCTTTCACGAGCAAATCCACAACGGCTCCGATGGGGCCGTGTGGGTCGTCTTCCCCCTCCGAAGTATCTTCGCGAAAGCAATCTTCTCTCCTCGTCTCGATCGGCATGACAGATCCCGTGAGTACCGATCGATCGCGAGCGAGATGGGAGAGGAGGGGAAGAAAGACGGCCGGCGCGATGCAGCAGCGACGGAATGTGGATCGTCTTCTTTGTAGCTTCATAGCTGTAGCGATATTAGTTTGTTTGTTCTTGTCGGGTTTTCGTTTTGCATGTGCTTCGGCGGGGAATCCGCCGATTCGTGTCCGTGTTACTGTACGCCGAGTAACAACCAGCTTGATCGCCGTCGCTCCCAGCGACACTGAGGACCCGAAGCTGGATTGGGATCTCGGATCCTCTCGGGCAGCGAAGAAGGCACGCTGGCCAGCGAGCTCGTCGATGAGGAAGAGGGAAAATCAAATCGCCTTAGTAGCGTAACAACGCGACTCGTCGAGCGCTCGTCGAGCGAGACGAACGGGCCTGATGAGCGCCCTCGTGATGTTATTAATACTGTTAATTAATATCGTTTTCGCTTTGTACAATGGTAGAGACACGCGCATGTGGGCGCCAAGAGAGTCATATACATGTATACTTTATATATATACATATATATATTCTTACGAGAAACTAAATTTGATACACACACATACACAATAATGTTGTACTTCCGCTCGACTCGCACGCTCGAGATAGAAAAAACGCGACAATGCGACACGTACGTTTGGTTTCAGCAGGGTTTGAACGCTTCCTTGCTGGCTGCGATTTAGGACATGGCCGATGAATCAATGAAGAAGCCTAACTTCTGAGGATTTATCGGAAGTTAGTCTCCTCATGGGTCGTTTGGCCACGTTCCAAGCTGCATCAAGAGAAAAAGTACTGAACCGTCCTGAAATCGAGTGTACACTTGTTTGCGCAATGACCCGCACGCAGTTTTCCAATGAAGTTAAGGGCGCTTCAAATAGGCATGATTAAGAGTCACTGCTCATGGGCTTACGCAATAATCGATTACGACAAAAGTCGAGCGGCAATGCACGATGTGAACGGTGATCATTTATTATACTCTTATCTGGTAGATAAAAGTATAATAAAAGCACTTCCCCGAACCCTTCGTAGTTGTGACGTCGGACGTCACGTCTGCTGTCACTTTGACTCCTGCGGACGTCGAAGAAGCCTTAAGCCGAGTTCAAGCCCTTATCTGAATAGAGCTTGCACTCAGATTAAGCTTAATCGACATCGGTAGAAAGGGACGGTAGCCGGTTATACCGCGCTTACAAGCTCATAAGCAAAATGGTTCGCGATCATGAAGAATTGATACGTTCTCGACTTTATCGGAAGAACTCTGCGAACGAGTGTACGTTTGGTTTCAATGCAGTCTCGACACTTCTTTCTTGGATGTGCAGTTTGAAACGCAGCCGATTGCCCAATGAGAGAACTTGTTTTTCAGGAGCTGATAAAAAACGGGATCTCTCATTGGGCCATTGGCTGCGTTTCAAACTGTGTTAAGGGAAAAGCATCCAAGCTGTACTGAAACCAAACGCATACGGCAACGCAGACTCGTCGATAATGGCTGCGCTCGGCAGGAAGAGCCGCTTTAAAACTGTCGTAAAATTCGTGAATCTGATTGGTTTATGCTCTTAGACTCGACCGAGATTAAAAGTACGCACCAATCAGATTCGCAAATTTTACAACAGCTGCAAAACAGCCTTTTCTACTGAACATAGCCAATACTATTATTACTACTGCTACTACTACTTTTACTACTACTATTACTATTATTACTACTATATTGCACCACCTTCGTCTCTCTTTCTCTCTCTCTCTCTCTCTCTCTCTCTCTCTCTCTCTCTCTCTCTCTCTCTCTCTCTCTCTCTCTCTCTCTCTCTCTCTCTCTCTCTCTCCCTCCGCCCCCTCTCTCTCTCTCCCTCTCTCTCTCTCTTTCTTTCGCTCTCTCTTTCCCCCTGTTTAGAGCGCCGTACAGCTGCGATATTTAGCCAACTGAATGCTCTATGACCCCCGCCGACTAATAACCCCAAGCATGGACGCGCGAAAAGAAGAAATGAGTCCTCTGATAGCGAGATGGCTCTCCTCTCTTCTGAGTCCTTCTCTCCCCTTTCTCTCGGCCGTCGAGAAAGAGATGGGCGCTCACAGTCGTAGGGATCCGTCATCGTCCCGTGTGAATCACAAATGCACACACATACACACACACATACACATATCTATACAGACGTAACATACGAAACAACACAACGCTACAGGCATTTCTTGCACTAACACGTTAGAAGAATTTGATCGAGGAAGAAAAGGAAAAAGAAGAAGAAGAAGAAGAAGAAGAAGAAAAAGAAGAAGAAGAAGAAGAAGAAGAAGAAGAAGAGATAGAAAAAAAAGAAAGATGCAACGAAGGTACACATACATACACACACGCGACATGCACACGAGATGTATAATCACGACACACATGCACAAACATACGAACGTGTACGAGTGTGCGGCGGACGCACACGCGGAAACACTAATTGTGGCCTTATCCGCACGAATACTGTAGGAGTATATAAAGAGAGAAATATAAAATAAAATAATATAAAATAAAGTAAAACCTACGTACACACGCGCGTACACACACGTACACAGAAGAACTAACGTCTCACACAGTATAATTTACTTCGTTACAAGATACTTAATATCAAAGTTATTGTTATACAAAAACGCGAACGCGCGCGAAAGTAAGTGCAACGCCGCGCGAATTGAGAGTCCACGTGCGAGCAAGGGAGAAGGTCCGAGGAGGTCCGAAGCGTACGTTCGGACTCGATCACACACGACCAAGATACGAGTCACCATGTGCTATAATATTATAATATTATGTATGTTCCGACGGAGTCACTTACACACTAATCGCCTTAATTAGTAAACGATTAAAATATATAAAAAAAAGAAGAGAGATTATTCTATATTCAGCGTATCCTATACACTCTGTTACACTAAAATTGATAAATAAATAAATGTAATTATTTACATGAGAATATATTTCTATACAATTCCCATTCCCTGCGCATCGTCGAATTAATATTAAAAATTTTTTCGAAATGAAATTTCTCACTTGCTCGAATTTAAATATCACGTCGCGTCACGATAAAAACGAATTTTTGAGATACGTCGAATAATTACGGCGAATTTCACTCACATTCAAATTTCACCGTTGTACGCACGAACATTTTAATTGGTTTTCACTAAACTCATCGGAAAAAAAAACGGAGAAATATGTAACAACAATTTACGTAATTGATTTGATTAGATAAGGACGTACAAAATGTCGATTAATTAATAAAGAGAATCCGTGCACTTGCAAATGTTATCAATTTATAAAATAATGTTATAACGACGGAACCGATGGGAAACACTGCGTATCACTTTGCACAACTGTGTATGATATTTCATCAATTATATACTATACAGGGTGACATCGAAAAAGGTGACCAAACTTTGATATTGTACTCTACTCTTCCTAAGGATGAAAAAAGATCGTATAAATATAGATCTGGAAACTCTTCCTTTCTGAGATAGAAACACTGTTTATAATTGAATGTTATAAGAATGGAGACTTCAATTGGGGAAAGACTTGCTTATTGGGCCAGTTTTTCTTCTATTTACATTCAACGGTAGAAATTATACACAATTTTTGGAAACTGAACTTTCTACACTATTACAAGATGTACCATTGGCAACACATACTCGAATGTGGTTTATGCATGATAGAGCTCCAGCCTATTTTAGTCAAACTGCTAGAGAATATCTTAATAACAATTATATTAATCGGCAGGATTGGCAGCGGTGGATTGGCAGAAAAGATCCAATCGCCTAGTCTGCACGCTGACTTAATTCCTTTAGATTTTTATTTGCGGGAACATTTTAAAAGTTTAGTCTATGATAATATTGAAGACTTGAATAAGTTCTCGCTGTTTTCTGACAGATGGTGTTATCTTAGCTTTTTTGCATCGGGCAATACTACAGCCAACTTCATCGTGAAGCTCCACTATTAGGCTCGAAGTGACAGTATATGTTATTCCGCCGAAGCGTAAACAACATATTTTTTCATAGTGTTAAATATGTCGAATTTCGTGCCAAAAGAAGAGTATTTGCGGGAAATTTTACTGCATTACTTTTTTCAAAAAAAATCTGCAACTGAAGCACATAAAATTCCTGTGGAGACTTACGGCGACCATGCACTGTCGGAAACAACATGCAGAGATTGGTTTAGACGCTTTAAAAATAATGATTTTGATATTGAAGATAAAGAACGCTCTGGCGCACCGAAAAAGTTTGAAGACGAAGAATTGGAAGCATTACTCGATGAAGACCCGTGTCAGACGCAAAATGAACTTGCAGAATCATTAGGAGTTGATCACACAACAGTTGCCAAACGTTTAAAAGCATTAGGAATGATTCAAAAACAAGGAAATTGGGTGCCGTACGAATTGAAGCCGAGAGACTCGAACGGCGTTTTTTCACGTGTGAAAAACGTACAGTGGAGCACAGCTGCTCCAACGGTAGAAAAGGAAAGGTTTTTTGCATCGTATCGTGACTGGCGATGAAAAGTGGACACACTGTGATAACCCGAAGCGTAGAAAATCGTGGGGTAAGCCCGGCCATGCATCAACATCGACGGCAAAGCCGAATAACCATGGTTCCAAGCTCATCCTCTGTATTTGGTGGGATCAGCTGAGTGTAGTATATTATGAGCTCCTCAAAACCAATAAAACCATCACGGGAGATCGCTATCGACTACAATTGATGCGTTTGAGCCAAACATTGAAGGAAAAACGACCGCGATACGAGGAGAGACACGACAAAGTAATTTTGCAGTATGACAACGCTCGGCCACATATTGCAAAACCGGTCAAAACCTACTTGGAAACGCTCAAATGGAAAGTCCTACCCCACCCTATTCACCGGACATTGCTCCTTCCGATTACCACTTGTTCCGATCGATGACTCATGGCCTGGCTGAGCAGCACTCCCATTCTTATGAAGATGCCAAAAAATGGGTCGATTCGTGAATAACCTCAAAAGATGAGTCGTTCTTTCGACATAGTATTCGTATGCTGTCAGAAAGATGGGAGAAAGTAGTGGCTAGCGATGGACAATACTTTCAATGACATGTTCTTTACTAATTTTTTTAAATAAAGTATTCATTTTCACGAAAAAATAGCGAGAACTTATTCAAGTTTCCAATAATATTATTGATAATCTGGAAACACTCAAAAACCAGATTATTGCTTCATGTGACCAAATTCGGAATACATCAGGAATTTTTGAACGTCTTCTACAGTCTCTGCAACGTCAATGTGAAGCGTGTATTATTCCAGAAGGAAATCATTTCCAGCAATCTCTTTAAGCAAGCTTCAAACGTTTCATCAATATTCAATCATAAATAAAAAAGGGTTTATATCTCGGGAAGGAAGAGTTTTCGGACTTGTGTTTATATGATATTAGGGTTGGGAAAGTTACTTCGTAAAAGTAACTAGTTACAGTTACAGTTTTCTTCACTGAAAAAGTAACTAGTTACAGTTACAAGTTACTGACTTTCAAAAGTAACATGTTACACTTACTTAAAAAGTAACGAGTCGTTACTTTTCAGTTACTTTCCTATAATAAATGTGCTATTATTTTAAATTTCGTAATCGTGTGTAAATTTCAAATTAATTTAAATTATACCTTAGTTAATTATATTTTGTTATGAATATAAAATGTTATACGTTACAACGTTATTTTATTATAAATATATTGAATAATGAATAATACTTCGAATACTTCCGCATATGCTAGTCATGGCATTTTTAAATCTTTTTCTAATGATTGCGATGTCTTATCCATTGCTTCCATTTCTAAGTAACTGGAACCATGCAGTGTACTTCATGCTAAACGTAGGTTATGTTAACGACTAAGAACTGGCGACGCGCGACGGAAATGTCCAATAGGAATATAATTTTTTTCAAGGAATACA